AGTGGTTTGTAGTTCTCCTTGAAGAGGTCCTTCACATCCCTTGTTAGTTGTATTCCTAAGTATTTTATTCTCTTTGTAGCAATTGTGAATGGGAGTTCACTCATGATTTGGCTCTCTGTTTGTCAGTTATTGGTGTGTAGGAATGCTTGTGATTTTTGTACATTGATTTTGTATCCTGAGATTTTGCTGAAGTTGCTTATCATCGTAAGGAGATTTTGGGCTTAGATGATGGGTTCTTCTAAATATACAATCATGTTGTCTGCAAATAGAAACAATTTGACTTCTTCTTCTCCTAATTGAATACTCTTTATTTCTTTTTGTTGCCTGACTGCCCTGGTGAGTACTTCAAATACTATGTTGAATATGAATGGTGAAGGGGAGCATCCTTTTCTTGTGCCAGTTTTTTCAGGGAATGCTTCCAGTTTTTGCCCATTCAGTATGATATCGACTGTGGGTTTGTTGTAAATAGCTTTTATTACTTTGAGATACATTCCATCAATACCTAGTTTATTGAGAGTTTTTAGCATAAAGAATTTTGTCAAAGGCCTTCTCTGCATCTATTGAGATAATCATGTGATTTTTGTCTTTGGATTTGTCTATGTGATGGATTACATTTATAGATTTCTATATGTTGAACCAGTCTTGCATCCCAGGGATGAAGCTGACATGATAAATAAGCTTTTTGATGTGCTGTTGAATTCAGTTTGCCAGTATTTTATTGAAGATTTTTGCATCTATGTTCATCATGGATATTGGCCTGAAATTTTATATTTTAGTTGTGTCTCTGCCAGGTTTTGGTATTAGGATGATGTTGGTTTCATAAAATGAGTTAGGGAAGATTCTCTCTTTTTGTATTATTTGGAATAATTTCAGAAGGCATGGTACCAGCTCCTTTTTGTACCTCTGGTAGAATTCGGCTGTGAACCCATCTGGCCCTGGACTTTTTTTTTTGATTGGTAGGCTATTAACTGCTTCCTTAACTTTAGACCTTGTAATTGGTCTATTCAAGGATTCAACTTCTTCCTGGTTTAGTCTTGGGAAGGTGTAAATGTCCAGGAATTCATCTATTTCTTCTTGATTTACTGGTTTTTGTGCATAGAAGTGTTTGTAGTAATTTCTGATGATAGTTTGTATTTCTGTGGAATCAGTGGTAATATCCCCTTTATCATTTTTTATTGAATCTATTTGATTCTTTTCTCTCCTCTTTTTTGTTAGTCTGGTTAGCAGTCTACCTATTTTGTTGATCTTTTAAAAAAACCATCTCCTGGATTTATTGATTTTTTTTGAAGGGGTTTTTGTGTCTCTATCTCCTTCGGTTCTGCTTTGATCTTAGTTATTTCTTGTCTTCTGCTAGCTTTTGAGTTTGTTTAATCTTACTCCTCTAGTTCTTTTCGTTGTGATGTTAGGGTGTTAATTTTAGATCTTTCCTTGCTTCATATGTGGGCATTTAGTGCTATAAATTTGCTGCTAGACACTGCTTTAAATGTATGCCAAAGATTCTGGTATGTTGTGTCTTCATTCTCATTTGTTTCAAATAATATCTTTATTTCTGCCTCCACTTCATTAGTTATCTAGTAGTCATTCAGAAGCAGGTTGTTCAGTTTCCATGTAGTTGTGTGGTTCTGAGTTAGTTTCTTAATCCTGAGTTCCAATTTGATTGTACTTTAGTCTGAGAGAGGTTTGTTATGATTTCCATTCTTTTGCATTTGCTGAGGAGTGATTTACTTCCAATTATGTGGTCAATTATAGAGTAAGTGTTAGGTGGCACTGAGAAGAATATATATTCTGTGGATTTGGGTTGGAGAGTTCTGTAGATGTCTATTAGGTCCACTTTGTCTAAATCTGAGTTCAAGTCCTCGATATCCTTGTTAATTTTCTGTTTCGTTGATCTAATATTGATAGTGGTGTGTTAAGGTCTCCCACTATTTTGTGTGGAAGTCTAAGTCTCTTTGTAGGTCATCAAAAACTCGCTTTATGCATTTGGGTGTTCCTGTATTGGGTGCATATATATTTTTGTTAGTTAGCTCTTCTGTTGCATTGATCCCTTTACCATTATGTTATGCCCTTCTTTGTCTCTTTTGATCTTTGTTAGTTTAAAGTCTGTTTTATCAGAGACTAGGATTGCAATTCCTGATTTTTTTGCTCTCCATTTGCTTGGTAAATCTTCCTCCATCTCTTTATTTTAAGCTTATGTGTGTCTTTGCACATGAGACGGATCTCTTGAATACAGCACACTGATGGGTCTTGACTCTTTATCTAATTTGCCAGTCTGTTTCTTTTGATTGGGACATTTAGCCCATTACATTTAAGGTTAATATTGTTATGTGTGAAATTGATTGTGTCATTTTGATGTTAGCTAGTTTTGCCCATTGGTTGATACAGTTTCTTCACAGTGTCAATGGTTTTTACAATTTGATATGCTTTTTGAGTGGCTGGTACTGCTTGTCTCTTTCTTTGTTTAGTACTTCTTTCAGGAGCTGTAGTAAGGCAGGTCTGGTGGTGACAAAATCTCTCAGCAATTGCTTTTTCATGAAGGATTTTATTTCTCCTTTACTTATGAAGCTTAGTTTAGCTGGATATGAAATTCTGGTTTTTAAATTCTTTTCTTTACAGATGTTGAATAGTGGCCCCCACTCTCTTCTGGCTTGTAGAGTTTCTGCCAAGAGTGAGTCTGATGGGCTTCCCTTTGTGAGTAACCCGACCTTTCTCTCTGGCTATCTTTAGCATTTTTTCCTTTATTTCAACCCTGGTGAGTCTGGTAATTATGTGCCTTGGGGTTGCTCTTCTTGAGGAATATCTTTGTGGTGTTCTCTGTATTTTCTGAATTTGAATGTTGGCCTGTCTTCTGAGGTTGAGGAAGTTATCCTGAATAATATCCTGAGCAGTGTTTTCCATCTTGGTTTCATTCTCCCTGTCACATTCAGGTACACCAATCAAACATAGTTTTGGTCTTTTCACATAATCCCGTGTTTCTTGGAGGCTTCGTTCATTTCTTTTCACTCCTTTTTCTCTAATCTTGCCTGCTCATTTTATTTCATTGAGTTGATCTTCAATTTCTGATATCCTTTCTTCTGCTTGTTCGATTTGGCTGTTGAAACTTGCATATACTTCATGAAGTTCTCATGTTGTGTTTTTCAGTCCCATCAAGTCATTTATGTTCTTCCCTAGGCTAGTTATTCTAGTTAACATTTCTTCTAACATTTTTTTCAAGGTTCTTAGCTTCCTTGCATTGGGTTAAAACATGCCCCTTTAGCTTTGTGAAGTTTTTATTACCCACCTTCTGAAGCCTGCTTCTGTCAATTTGTCAAATTCATTCTCTATCCCGTTTTGTTCCAATGCACAGGGAAATATTTGTAACATTAATTAAAAATTAAGGAATAAGAAATTCCTTATATGAAATTATAAAACACATACAATATACAAATTTGAAAAAATATGAAGGTCAAATATTATATTAAAACTTTCTAAAATATTGGATGTAATTATTATTGGAAAGAGGAAAAGATACATTTCTTTTTTGTTTGTATTTTTCAAGAATAACACTACTGTGATAACTAGAAAAGTAGCTTAAAAATGCACAAACAATATAAGCCAATTTTGTTTTATCAATGTGCACACATACAGCTTAATAATGTTTGCATCAAGCTAGAGGACCAATATATTTTATACATATGTTTTTCTTTTCTTTTCTTTTCTTTTGGAAATAGCTAGGAGAGAAAGATCAATGTAGACATTTTTTTTTCAAAAAAAGGAGAATTCCTTTGAGCAAATGAACGAGGAAGAAGGGCTACAAAGTCACTAAGCAAGAAACTCAATCAGAACTTCAAGAATATCTGTAGGGCTAGAGAAGGGAAGCTCAGAGGAGATCTCATGGAAAAACTTCTGTGTGTAAAGAAGAGAAGTAATTGTGAGAATGCTGCATAGACTGGAGGAGACATCTAGGGAAAAAAAGTATAATGTTTGGAAAAATATTTCTTTAGAAGTGTTGAAAATAGACTAGACAAAAATAAAATGCCTAGAATGACTTTCACATTAATTCTTTGGATGAAAATCAAACCTCATAACCTGCTCCGGGCAGCTTCAGTGCCTTGGATATGGTTTTAGAATGGCCTGACATGTTTTTCACGTCTATAAATTATTAAATATCTCACATAAAGACTTCAGAAGAGAATAGAAGAGACAGAATGACAATGAAAATATCCCTGTAACTGTCACATGAATCAAGAAGCAGACTGCTGCCATGATCTCCACCGCCACTCTGTGTCCTTTCTGGCCTCACTCCTTTGCTTCTCTGGGAATTAACAAGTTGCCTGACATTTACAATCTCTTTCTTATCTTGCAGCTTTAGGCAGAGTATGTATCTTATCTGCGATGGGGTCTTTCTCATGGTAAAGTGACATTCTTAGAACCCATCTCATTAGGTCATTGGGAGGATTAAACTAGAGCACTTATGATATGGTGTCTAATAAACACTCAACATGCACTGGCAGTGCTTTCTTCTGCTCATACAGCACATGGAAACCTGCTTTAATGTTGTATACAGAGTTAGAATAAGAAAGAAAGGAAAGAAAGAAATATGAAAATGATATAAAGGGCTTGGGAAAACATTAAAACATGTTCCATTAAACAATTACAATATGTTCTATTTTTTCCAAGTTACTTTAATGGAGGTTTTATATATCCATACAAAATAATACTAAAGTTTATTTGCTTATATATTTCTGAAATTCTACCTAGCAATTGAAATTCTACCTAACAAACTAAAACCTATTATAGTTCTCTCAGAGAACACTATATGTATGTTTTTTGAGGGAGGATGAAGACCACTATCTGTCATAAAAGTCAGAGATGTTCATCTCCCTTTAGTCAATTTATAGAGATTATGGAAATAACAAATTCTTCACTTAAAAAATGTTCCTAAATATCCTAATAATTCTAAATATCAGATAACATATCAAGAAATGGTAACAGATATTGACAATTTTCAGTAATTAAAAAAAATGTGGCTGATCAAGTGCACGATTCGCATTGTACAGGAAGGATCTAAAATATGTGGAGAGAAATGTGTGATTAAATGTAGGGAGGGCATTGGAAAGGGAAATTCAGAAAGAGCTGTAGAAACCACTGTTACCAAAATGTAATGATCATTTTTCTGAGTCATTAATTTTCTTTACTGTGTTCCAAGGTCTCATCATTCAATAGATGAAGAGGTGAAAAAATCACTGAAACTCAAAAGAAGCATTTTATTGAAATGAAATAAAATGGCAATGCTTATCTTCCACCAAGATAAGCATTTTCACTAAACTCTTAAGTCATGCGAAATGCAGACTGGTCTTTCTCATGAAGCCAGTTGCCTCCGTTGCTAGTGAACCAGATCATTTGAAATATACCGGAGCCAACTGCACTTTTGTTTTTGCCCTCTCAATTCCCCTATTTTATTATTACACTGACACACAGTCTATATGTATTGTATATTTGTGATGTTAGTAAATTATAGCTTGTGAAATAACGTAATGGTTGAAACTAAGCATTTCCATAACACTCTTTACAGATAATCTCTGAGCCTCACAACATTTCCTCATTTTACTTGGCCTTGTCCAAAAATTACTGTTGCGACTTTGAATCAACTTTCCTGTTTTGTCCCAGGGACCAAGAAAATCAGACTTCTGATGTCACCTTCATCCTCTTGGGCTTCTCAGAATATCCAGACATTCAGGTGCCCCTGTTCCTGGTCTTCCTGATCATCTACACAGTCACTGTGCTGCGGAACCTGGGCATGATCATGGTCATCTGGATCAACCCCAAACTCCACACCCCCATGTACTTTTTCCTCAGCCATTTGTCCTTTGTCGATTTCTGTTATTCCACCACCGTTATACCCAAACTGCTGGAGAACTTGGTTGTGGAAGACAGAAGCATCTCCTTCACAGGATGCGTCATGCAATTCTTTTTTGCCAGCATATTTGTGGTGACAGAAATATTCATGCTGGCAGTGATGGCCTATGACAGATTTGTGGTGGTGTGTTACCCTCTGCTCTACACAGTTGCAATGTCCCAGAGGCTTTTCTTTTTGTTAGTGGCTACATCATACTCCAGGGTGACAGTCTGTTTCTTGACAATTACCTTCTTTCTCCTGGAATTATCCTTCAGAGGAAATAATATCATTAATAACTTTGTGTGTGAGCCTGCTGCCATTGTTGCTGTGCCATGCTTTGACCCCTACATGAGCCAGAAAATCATTTTCATTTCTGCCACATTCAATGAAACAAGCAGCCTGATGATCATTCTCACCTCCTAAGATTTCGTTTTTATCAATGTCATGATGATGCCTTCCACTGGGGGGCGCATAAAAGCATGCGCGACCTGTTCCTCCCAGCTGACCGCCATTATCATTTTCCATGGGACCATCTCTTTTCTCTATTGTGTTCCTAACTCCAAAAGTTCATGGCTCATGGTCAAGGTGGGCTCTATCTTTTACACAGTGGTCATCCCCATGCTGAACCCCTTGATCTATAGCCTCGGGAACAAAGACGTCAAAGAGACAGGAGGTTAGTCTTTACCAAATTATTATGTCTCATATTATAAAGTCTAGAGAAGATGAACTTATTTCTACTCAAGAATATTGTGCAGAACTGCCCAGAAGTTCTAGAATTGCTAACAATCCAAATTCCTTTTTCAAAGAGCAAAGCAGTGGATGTGTTTCATATAACCCCTAGTTAATGGTTATTTGACATCTGTTTAAATTCTAGTCGATTAGCTAGCAAGTAACACAGCAATATAATCTCTAATGATGTAACTTGTCATTAAACTCAAAATTTGTCATGTTAAGTTTTCTGAGTTAATATACATTACTCTTTTGCTGCCCAGATAAACCTTCCATTCTTTTTCAGTTGTTGGAAAATGGTCTTGTAGATTTGTTCTGAAAATTTATAGCTTACCACGAAGGTGGATATAGCAAAGGAAGAGAGGTTCAGCATTCAGGCACTACGTTTAAAAGAAATATTTATTGCATTCCACATAGGGTGCACTGGTGTATTCTAAGTGTGTATAAGGCATAAGTCTGCCCACAAAGTCCAGAATGTTGTTTAGTAAAATTTTACTGGTTAACACAAAATTTTATTTGGCTATTTTACACAATACATAAAAAAATGAAAATAGCCACATATTTCAGCAATGGCTATTTTGAAATCTGAATTTGTCCTTTCAGACAATCTTGATTTGTATATAAGTTATATATTGATCCATAAAAAATATCATAAATGTCAGTGATATATAACATTAGGTAATTATTATTACTTTGTCAATTGGTTCGGTAGTCCTGCTAATATCAGCTGGTGCATTGTGGCTAATATTATCTAGCCTAACATGTTTAATGGGAACTCACAGACCTGCATAATGATTGGATAGCCCTGCCTCTATGTGTCTGTGATCCTTTATAGGGTCATCTCCCTTACAGTGATGAACGTATGTGTGATTTATTTATTTACTTTCTTTGATCTGAATGGTTTTGGGATGGATAGATAGAAAGAGTAACTTTTAATGCTGTTATTAGTTTCAAGCCTTTTTCTATGTCTTTTCTATGGAATGTTTTATTTATCATCATTTCATTGATATAGATATGAAATACCGTAAAATGTATTTTAGTAATTGTCCTTTGTGCTTCTTCTATAATAATTTTGCAATTGTGGTCTGCATTATTCCAGTATTATTATTATTATTTTTTTAAATTTTCAAGATATTTTATTTAAAGTTTCCTTCTTCAGACATCATAAATTATAAGCATTAAAATTTAGTAAATAATTTTAACTCATGGCATGAATAACTTATTACAAATATGATGTTATCAAGAGTAAAGTAAAATTTTTATAAACATCCTGAGGACTCAAAGCCCATTTTTAGAGATTAAAATACCATGATTTAGTTCTTTTTTTTTTTTAATTGCATTTTAGGTTTTGGGGTACATGTGAAGAACATGCAAGATTGTTGCATAGGTACACACATGGCAGTGTGGTTTGCTGTCTTCCGTCCCCTCACCTGTATCTGTCTTTTCTCCCAATGCTATCTCTTCCCAAATCCCCACCCCCCCGTCCCTCCCCCTCCAGTATTATTTTTAACGGCAAGCTTTTATTTTTAAATAAAATGTCTTATTAATTATTAATATTGTTATTAATTTATGCTTTTTTCCATCTTCATGGAATTCTATTTGCATATTTTTTGATTTGTGTTGACTTTATAGTTTTTAATATGTTAAAATATAGTCATGTTTTATGACTGCTCATACGTATGTAAACCAACTGTATTCTTATTACTGGTTTCACTCTGCCCTCTAGTGGGCATTCTATTTTTGCCACTTGTAAGAAAAATTTATTCTCTCAGCCACTATTTAGGAGATGAATTTTGTACAATTAGACTATATGAAAACAAATTCTATGAATGACAATTGGATTAGAATGATACAACAATTAGACAAGAGTCGACCTGGTAATATTAATGAAAAGTGAAATGTTTTGTTCTCATTAAATCAAACTAGGATAAAATTTTTAAAAAAACATTTCTTCGTGCAAGAAAGAATATTGGACCAAGATTTATTTGTCAACCTTTTATATAATTTGGTAGTTTTCCAGGAAAAATCATTAAAATATTCAATTTTTGGTTAACCATTTGTAATATTTTTGAAAACCTTATGAATACATTCAGAAATTCTTGGAGAGCTAAATGGTATAAAAGTTTGATTTGTAAACATAGTTTTGCAAATGTAAAGGAAAATGCAAAACACAAAGAGTATGTGATATATAGGCATACCTAACATATGTATATGTGGTTTGTGCATAATATATGTATACGTTTCTGTATTGCTTGATTCTTCCTTTTATGTATCTATGTCTGTTAATCTATCTTCTATCTATCTTCCTATCCATCATCCATCACCTATCTGTATTGAAATTAGTGCTTCCCTTAAGCCTTCTGTTTCAAACATCAGGCATGAAGAGGATTTTGTTGTGCAGAGCCAATAACTCTGCATTTATTTATCCTGGTGTCCCTGGTAAGCAGTGTTTTTTTATTTTTATTTTTATTTTTGGTCTCTATAATTTGATGTGTCTAGGTACCAAATACACATGGTATCCTACAATATTTGCCTTTTATACCTGGCTTATTTCACTTAGCTTCATGTTTTCATGGCTCATGCATGTTGAATCATCTCATGGATGTTTGGGTTGTTTCTACCTTTGAGCTATTATGAATAATACTGCTAAGAACATTGGTGTACAAATATCTGTTTGAATCTCTGCTTTCAACTATTTTGGTATATATCGGAAGTGGCATTGCTAGGTTATGTGTATTTTAATTTCTAATTATTTGAGGAACTACCATAGGTTTTTCCAGAGCAGCTTCACCATTTTACATTCTCACCAGTAATGTTCAAGGGGTCCCATCCATTTCATCTCCCTAAAGTTTGTTATTTTCTACTTGTTTCTTGTTTTTCTTTGCTTTTTCTTTTTCATACTTGCTGTCCTAATGGGTGTGAAGCAGTAGCTGTTTTGTTTGTTTATTTATTTTATTTTTTTTGTTATTATTGTATAAGACCAAAAATATGAGCTCAACCCTCAACAGAATTTTAATTGTATACAGTATGGTAAAAATAATTAAAAGCACAATGTTGTACAGCAGAACTCTAGAATCTGTTCATTTTGAATAAATGAGATGCTGTTCATTGTGGTTTTGAATCGCAGTTCTCTCATTATTGCAAATAATGATGATGGGCATCGTTCCACATGCTTATCAGCATGTATATATCTTCTCTGAAGCCATGTGTATTCAAGTTATTTAACTATTTTTGAATTGGGCTGTTTTTGTTTTGTTGATTTATAGGAATTTAAAAAATACATATTCTGTGTATTAATCTCTTAGAAATATGTTTCAAAAGATTTTCTCCTATATATTGGGTTACCACTTCACTCTGCTGGGAGTGTTCTTCGAAGTTTTTAATTTTGATGAAGTCGGTTTTATGTATATATTTATAGGTAAATACTTTTGGTGTGATATACAATAAATAATTCACAAATTCAATGTCATGAAGTTTTTATTCTAGGTCTTCTCTGAAAAGTTTTGAATTTGTATTTTCATAAAATCTCATGTAGTCCCTAGTGTTGGGTGTGGGACCTGGTGGTAGGTGATTGAATCGTGGGGGTGGTTTCTCATGAATGGTTCAGTGGGTTCTTTCTTTTGTTTTTTTGCATTTTAGGTTTTGGGGTACATGTGAAGAACATGCAAGATTGTTGCATAGGTACACTCATGGCAGTGTGGTTTGCTGCCTTCCTTCCCCTCACCTGTATCTGTCATTTCTCCTCATGCTATCTCTTCCCACCTCCCCACACCCCCATCCCTCCCCCGTTACCCCCCAAAGGACCCCAGTGTGTAGTGCTCCCCTCCCTGTGTCCATGTGTTCTCATTGTTCAACACCCGCCTATGAGTGAGAACATGTGGGTTTGATTTTCTGTTCTTGTGTCAGTTTGCTGAGAATGATGGTTTCCACGTTCATCCATTTCCCTACAAAGGACCCAAACTCATCGTTTTTGATGGCTGTGTAATATTCCATGGTGTATATGTACCACATTTCCCCTATTCAGTCTATCATTGATGGGCATTTGGGTTGGTTCCAGGTCTTTGCTATTGTAAACAGTGCTGCAATGAACATTCGTGTGCATGTGTCCTTATAGTAGAATGATTTATAATCCTTTGGATATATACCCAGTAATGGGATTGCTGGGTCAAATGGGATTTCTATTTTTAGGTCATTGAGGAATCACCGCACTGTCTTCCACAATGGTTGAATTAATTTGCACTCCCACCAACAGTGTAAAAGTGTTCCTATTTCTCCACATCCTCTCCAGCATCTGTTGTCTCCAGATTTTTTAATGATCGCCATTCTAACTGGTGTGAGATGGTATCTCAATGTGGTTTTGATTTGCATTTCTCTAATGACCAGTGATGATGAGCATTTTTTCATATGTTTGTTGGCCTCCTGTATGTCTTCTTTTCTAAAGTGTCTGTTCATATCCTTCACCCATTTTTGAATGGGCTTGTTTGTTTTTTTCTTGTAGATCTGTTTTAGTTCTTTGTAAATTCTGGATATCAGCCCCTTGTCAGATGGGTAGACTGCAAAAATTTTTTCCCATTCCGTTGGTTGCCGATTCACTCTACTGTCTGTTTCTTTTGTCATGAAGAAGCTGTGGAGTTTGATTAGGTCCCATTTGTCTATTTTGGCTTTTGTTGCCATTGCTTTTCATGTTTTGATCATGAGTCCTTGCCTACGCCTATGTCCTGAATGGTTTTGCCTAGATTTTCTTCTAGGGTTTTTATGGTGTTAGCTGAGACCATTCCTTCTGAAACTATTCCAGATAATCCAAAAAGAGGGAATCCTTCCCAAATCGTTTTATGAGACAAACATCATCCTAATACCAAAACCTGGCAGAGACTCAACAAGAAAAGAAAACTTCAGCCCAATATCCATGATGAACATAGATGCAAAAATCTTCAATAAAATACTGGCAA